CAGATCTGCACGTGCGGGTGAGCGGCGGCGCGGCGGCGGAGGCGGGGACGCGGCACACCGCGTGACGGGTTTACACGCGGTTAGACGTTTCTGCTGTGTAGGCGCCTGTCCCGGCGCACACTGCCCAGCCATCCGGCCGGGCAGGTCTTAGGCGTGAAGTGACGGTGTGGCAGGATTACAGCTTGTAAAGTGGAGCGATCAGATCAGGCTGGGAGCCTGGATGTCCCGCAGATTTTTTTTTATTTAAAGGGAAGGAAAAGAAAGATTAAGGAAAAGGAATAGAACAGAATGGTGTGCAATTCTTTTTTTTTTTCTTAATAAACTAGAGGCCCGGTGCACGAAATTTGTGCACTGGGGTGGGGGTCGGGGGTTGTCCCTCAGTCCAGCCTGTGCCCTCTCTCAGTCCTGGACGCCTCAGGGGATGTCGCCTGCCAGCTTAGGCCCGATCCCCCTCAGCGGGATCCCCCCATCCCTCTCGCAGTCTGGGACCCCTTGCACCTTACTGCCCGTCTGCAGTGGAGGTGGGAGAGGCTTGAGCCAGGCTTCTGGCTGAGCATCGCTCCCCACTGTGGGAGCCTACTGACCACCAGGGGGCAGCTCCCATGTTGAGCATCTGCCCCCTGGTGGTCAGTGTGTGTCATAGCAACCAGTTGTTCTGCTGTTTGGTTGATTTACATATTAGGCTTTTATTATATAGGATTTTTATTGATTTCAGAGAGGAAGGGGGGGGGAGAGAGAAACATCAATGATGACAGAGAATCATGGATCAGATGCCTCCTGCATGCCCCACACTGGGGAATCAAGTCTGTAACCCGGAAATGTACCCTAACTGGGAATCGAAGGGTGACCTCTTGCTTCATAGGTAGAGGCTCAACCACTGAGCCACGCCCCTCCCAGCCCCTGCCCCTCCCCCCAAAAAAGTCTGCAATTCTTGAGTTTCTAACTAGTTTTGGGCTTCTTTCAGTCTCCCTATTCCCCTTCCCCCCCAAGCAGCACTCCCCTGGGGCGGAGTGACTGGCAATGTAGTGGTGGCACCTTGAGACCCAGGACTGGTCTGGTGAGTCCTGCCTAGCAACCTTCGCTCTGTCAACAGTCCTCTGGGCTTCCCTGTTGACCCAGGGATTAGAAAATGCTGGTTAAGTA